AGTGTTTAATTTAGGGGAAAGATAAAAAGTTGTCATACTTCCACCAGTGATCACAGGAAAAATATTGTATTAGAAAGAAAAGATAGAGAAAGAAAGAAAGAAAAAATAGATCGTTGAAAGTGAACAGACAAAAGATGCAAGTAAAATTATTTAAACTGAGGTGAAATAAATAAAGTAGAATTAAGAGAGTGAATAGAAGAGAGAAAACATAGAAAATATAGAATGTTAAATAAGATATGAAATGGTATATTTGTGAGCATGAATTTGATTTATGTCTCTACAAAAAGATGTAACCCGGGGTAAGCCGCTTTCCAAAAAGAAGTTTTATGTATTTATGTTTTGTGTTATGTCTGTCTATGTTTGAATTAAAACCCTAGAAGAACGTTGGAAGAGAATAATGAAATTGTAAATAAGGCAGATGGATACAATGAATATATATAATTCAAGGTAAAAGAAATATAATTGAATATAAGGAAAGGGAGAAATAAAGAGAAGTTGGGAAAAGATATGAAGTTGAACACATATTAAATTGTGTTTGTATGGAAATATGATGATTTGGAATTATTTTGTTTTTAAATAAGATGCCTTATTTGTTTTTCCAGAAAAAGATCTCTTATGTTGTTACATTCTATGTTTTGTTTGTTTGTGTATTGATTTCAAAAATTAATAAAATTTGTTTTTTAAAAAAAGATGATTTATTTCTATTATGTTTTGTGAAAACCCAATAAAAATTTTCTAAAAAAAAAAAAGACTTGGAAATTGAACTGGATAATTATTTGGATTTTGGCACCAATAGGCATTAATCAAATGCTGGAATTGAATGTGTTAAAAAGAAATAACAGATAATAATTGGAATTAGCAAAATTAATAAAAACTTATAAAAGGGAAAAAGTGAAAAATAAAGGGTGAAATGTGAAAACAGAATTAGAAACGCCATCTAGTGGTAAAGGAAAAATTTCAGTGTCTCTTTGAAAAGTGCTTGGTTTATTTAAAATTGGAATGTGAAATGAAATAAGAGAAATTCTACTATAATAAAATTAAAAAAACCCAAAATGAAATATTAGAACATTACAGAAAAGAGATACATGAAGAAATTACCCCGGGATTGTTTGGTGACTTTGAAAAAAAGTTGGAAAAGAAATTAACAGAAGGAAACTTGGAAACAAAGACTTATAGACATTGACTGTTGAAACTAAACATAAAAGACACACATAGATTTAAAAATAGAAAAGATTGATTTTTTTCAGGATTACTATTAAACTAGATATAGATTTGATTGAAATAGATATGGCAATGGGAATTTACTATAAGAATATTAATTGATATTTAATAAAGTGATGAATAAAGTTAAAATGAATTATGAGAATTGCGATGGAAAGACTATTATCAGCTCCCAAAATTTAAGTGAACAGATTAATACCTTGGAAATAAATAGATGATTTAGAATATAATTGAGAAAAGAGAATACCATGCGGAATCTGAATATA